ACTTGGGACACTATGTGACGCCGCAAGGCATCCGTCCGCTTGCGGACAAGATCGAGGCCATCCGCGTATGGCCCGAGCCCACCAACACCACGGACATTCGTTCATTCATGGGGTTGGCAGGCTATTATCAGCGTTTCATCACCGGATACTCAAGGATTGCCGCACCTCTGACGAGACTACAATCGCCAAAGGTGCCATTCGTATTCGATGACGACGCGCGCCAGGCTTTCCAAGCACTCAAGACGGCCATGCTCATGGCACCCGTCCCTAGCATCTACGACCCCACTCTGCCTACGAGAGTGGTCTTGGAGCAGCACGACGGCGAGGATTGGCACCCTGTGGAGTATTTCAGCCACAAAGTGCCTCCCATCAATTCTCTGGATGATGCAAGGAAGAAGGAGCTGCTTGCGTTCGTCATGGCTCTCGAGCGATGGCGGCACTTCCTTCTTGGGCGTCGTAGGTTCACATAGGTCACGGACAATAACCCATTGACCTACTACAAGACGCAGGACACGGTGAGCAGCACGATTGGACGGTGGATGTACTTCATCGACCAGTTTGACTTTACACCGAAACACGTTGACGGCCTCTCCAATCGCGCAGCAGATGCACTTTCGCGACGACCTGATCTTTGCGCTATGACGCATCACGCCTTCGCGTTCGACGAGGACCTCCAGCGACACTTCATCAGGGGCTATCAGTCTGACCCAGAGTTTGCTACGTTGTATGCGCACCTATCTTCGGATCACCAGCCGGCCAGCCACTATCGCATTGCCGACAGGTACTTGCTCCTCCATTCGAGAGGCAAGGACTTACTGTGTGTCCCACGCGACCGCCGTCTTCGGACTCGCCTTCTCGGCGAGTATCATGATTCGCGACTCGCCGGCCATTTCGGAGTCAATCGCACGATTGCACGGCTTCGACAACGATTCCGATGGCCCGACCTCATTTCCGATGTCATGCGGTATTGCGATTCTTGCGAAGTTTTTCGACGCAGCAAACCCCGCAACCCTCGGGAATCCGGTATCTCCATTGCTATGGATGTCACCGGTCTGTTTCCTCGAGACCGGCTCGGGCACGACGCCATCCTCACGGTTGTGGACTGATTGAGCAAGTACGCACGTTTTCTTCCTTGCAAGTACTACTCCACGGCTCCCGAGCTGGCACGCCTCTTGCACACCGGTTGGATTTGTGGCCACGGCGTACCCGAGGACATAGTCAGCGACCGCGACACTCGTTTCATGTCGACTTTTTGGACCTCTCTCATGCAGGAGTCCGGCACGACGATGAAACCCAGTTCGGCTCGGCATCCACAGACAGACGGGCAAACAGAGCGGGCACATTAGACCGCTCAAATGATGCTTCGTACGCTCATCCGTCCGGACCAGAAGGATTGGGTTGACCGCCTCCCCGACATCGAGTTCGCCTACAACACTTCAGTGCACCCGGCGATCGGTGTGACTCCATTCAAGTTGCACCACGGTGGACGGAAAGGTCGTATCTTCTCTGATCTTCTCCTCCCTCGACCAGCCGACATTGACGCCGCTTGCTCTCCCGCTTCCGTCCAGAAGTACAGGGAATTGCTGGCTCAACCCCGCACAAACATGCAAAAGGCTCAAGTCCGCATGCAGCAGCAAGCCAACAGGCGCCGCGTACCATGTCCCATCCGCGCCGGAGATCGAGTTTGGGTCTCCTCGGAAGAGTTTGCATTGGAACAGGATGTCTCACGCAAACTACTCCCTAAGTGGTTTGGACCATGGACAGTGACATCAGCTGCGGGCGATGAGCCCGATGGCCCTTCATTTGTGATCGACATTCCTGAGCATCTGACGGTCCATCCAGTCTTTCATGCGTCAAAGCTGGCAACATATACACCAGCTAAGAGCGATGACTTCCCGGGCCAACGATCGCAGGACCCTCCTTCTATGGATGGTCATCAGGAGGTTGACCGCGTCATCTCAGATCGCAAGTATGGCAGCAAGCCGCGCCAGTACAAAGTTACATTCAGAGCATGCGATCCCGACGACACTCGGTGGATTTCAGGAGCAGATTTGAAAGCGTCTGCACCGCTGATCTACGCTCACTACGAGCGACAGAGGTTAGCCAAGGGACCTCCACGACCTGCCCCTCCCACCCGGACTGTGGTCCCTCCCTCAGACAGACAGCTTCGCCCTCGTAGGTAAGCTCGGTCTTTCAAGGAGGGGGGGGTGTGGCATACTGTGCAGCCACACGGGCCCTGCAGGGGCCGTCCCGGACCTCCAGCCTGTTTCCCTACAGGGAAACTTCCAGGCTCTTGCCTGGAAGCTTCCTTCTGACAGGGCCTACAGGCCCCAGCCTGTTTCCCTACAGGGAAACTTCAGGGAACTTCCAGGCTCTTGCCTGGTAGCTTCCGCAGGGTCTAGGCCAAGGAGGCATTGGCACGGCCAGCCTCCTGCACGGGCCAGCACTATAAAGGACTGGCCCGCCCTGCAGGAAAAGGTCAGTAGGCAGAGGTAGTCTTCAGGATTCGGCCGCAGCACTCAGGAGGAGCGCTGCAGTAGTCTTCAGCGCTAGGCAGTAGTGGTAGYGCTAGCTGTAGTCTTCGGCGCTSGGCGCCATAGCTGTAGCTGTAGTCTTCAGCGCTGGGCGCTGGTAGGTAGTAGATCGTAGAAGTGGGAGAGAGACTGGCGGAGGCCAGTGTTACTTACCTGTGGCGCCATCGCTCCAGCTCCATCTTCGTGGTACCTGCATCAAGGCGCCAACTTCACAGGTTAGTACTGGACACAGAGAGAGAGAGAGTTCTTCTTCTTCCTCTTCTAAGTCCACCTTCTCTTCTCACCCTCTCGCCACCTGACTTCTCAGACCACGACAGAGAGAGACAGAGTTGTGACTTGAGACTTGACGACATTGGATCCAGACTTGACATTTGGGATTCAGACAGTTCGACGAGGGACTATTTGGGCTTGTGCCGAAGACTTGGTGTTGACGACATTCCCATCTTCCCCCCTCCTCTTCATCTATCCCYTTCCTCCTCGTCTGTGCATGTTCTGGGCTGGCGCTGTCTTCCTGTGTGAAGCGCCAGACCCATTCACACTATGAAACGATGATGATGATGTATGTTCAGGGCTGCATTACAACATTGATTGTTCGGATCACTGGTATCTAAGTCTTCCGCTGTGCTATCTTATACTTTGTATGAAAGGTCGGTTCTTGTTCTGGTCTGCACCTATACGGTATGCAACAGTCACCTTTCGTATCTTTAACTCGTGGCCAAACTGACCATAGTGGCCAGCAGTTTATTGCCTTGTTGAAGTGGATCCGCGTTCGTCATTTTTGAACATCCTTGTGACTTCAGTTGCTTGCTTCCAGATTTGTCCTCAAAGAGCACTCAGTAAGGCCTGAGCCCCAGCGTTCAAAAGACAAAACATGGGTACGGGCCAAAACATAACTCACCCTCTTTTTTTCTTTTTTTTCTGAAACAACTGTTCCCGTGTGAGGTCTTGAGTTTCAAATATGCACAGAAGACACTAAATCGCAGCTTGGTCAGGGGCGGAGTTTTGAAAGGCAAAAAAAACAATAACTTGCAGTTTCATCAGGGCTGGAGTTTCTGATGGGAAAAATAACTCGGGCCAGGTCTGAGGACCTGTCCCAGGCCGTGGGTTCACAACAGAAAAGGTCCGGGCTGTGAGGAGCTGTCCCAGGCCCTGTGTACACCACGGAATGGCTCTGCTGTTACAGTAGGACTGGACGACACGAGAGAGAGAGAGAGAGAGAGAGAGAGAGAGTTGATAACCTGGAGCAAGAGTGGACATTTAAGAAAAGCTGTTTGAGGTTCTGGTAACGTACTGGAAAAGCTCTTAACTCTTGTCATGTTTTGGGTGTTGCAGTGCAGGGAACAAGACAATAGCATCGCTAATGAAGTTGGATTGTCCTCGAAGAATCTTACTGGTATGTGAACTGCAACTATATGTGTGGGTGTGTGGCTCCCCTTGGTAAGCAGGATTTGCCTCATAGAGTGTGTCTCTTTGGCATTAGACATAATAGCCCGGCTGTGTTGTGTCTTGCTTCATGCCTGCTTGTTGTTGTGCTAGCCACTCATTTTCTATACTCCGCTGGCATCTTCTCATGCCTGTGCACTCCCTGTGTACCGAACCAGATATAGAAAAGGAGAGGGAGAAGACAAGGAGAGGTGGCAGAGTGCCAGGTCAGCAACCTGGGCACACCGGGGTTAGGCACCTGGACATGTTTGGGCAGCCAAGGCTGCACCTTGGCTGCCATCCATTTTTCTGGCCCATGTGCAGTTTGAACTTTGTATTGTTCTTGTTTTAAGTTTTTAATAGTTTTTATTGCTTTTCCTTAACTCATTTGTATCTGCATTGCTTTGTTTTCAACTTCTCATTCTATATCTTTATGCGGTTGTCTGATATCTGCATTGCTTTATTTTCATTCTATATCTTTAAGCTGAAACGGTTTTCACCTTTGCAGAAGCAGATACAGATCCCAAGGTTCGATCCCTAGACGTTACCAACCCGTGTACAGTATCGAGTAGACCCGTGTGTTTTGAGCCTGCGACCTGTGTTTTAGTAGTGACTGTTGTTTGGCGTAGGTCCCTGTGGCTATAGGGGTTCGATCTGTAGATCAGTCAAGTAGGGGTTACAGCTGTGTAGAGATCGGAACTGCTAGGCTAGAGGTCTGTAGGCAAGTCGGCAGTGCAACCCCGTTCAGTCAGCGGTACCGGTCCCAGTCACACTTAGTCCAGTCAAGTAAGTACCGTGTGGGACTGTGTGCACCAAGGGCCTGGTGGAAAGGGGCAGACCAGCGGCCAACAGAAGTATAAATCAAGAGGCAGCGTCCAGCAATTCACTCATTCTGTTGCGAACCAAGCGGAAGCGCTGCCAGTGCGTCTTGTGCGAGGTGGTCTGCAGATGCCCGAAGCTGAAGTGGGCTACGAGAGAGACAGGGCAGCCATAGCTGCTAGTAGTGCTAGGGTTAGCAAGCAGCCATAGCTGCGTCCGGTTAGAGTAGTCTTCAGTGTGTGTGTATATGAGTGTGCAGTGAGAGTGAGTGAATGTGGGTGGGATATCCAGGGAGGTCCAGTGAAGTGTGCGTGTGGACAAGTTGAGAGGATACAGTGTTGCGAGAGGGATGTAAGGGCGCGCAGGCGCCATAGTCGCTTGAAGTGAGATTGTATCTGAACCGTGTTTTCGCCTGTAATATCTCTGAGCTTTGGTGTGGGCGCCTGGCACCAGAGTGACTTGCCATCTGTTGACATGCATGTGAACTGAAAAGAAGCGAGTCTGATCTCAAAGCGCTTGTCTGAAAGTTTATGGACACCAATTTCCCCTGCTCTTCCTTGCAAACCTTTCCTGCACCTGAACTGGGCACATGAAATTGATGACATTTGAATTCCAAGCTCTCCATCACTGAATTTCCTTGGTTCTCAACCATTTGCTGGACATCATCATCGAACTTAAATGACAAGCGCATGCCTCCTTGCTGCTTGACTGTGATGATGCAGAGCGGCACTCCAATTCAGAATCAACTGAACGAGTTCTTCGCCATGATAGATTTTATCAATCCCAATTCACTTGGCTCTCTTCCAGCATTTAAGCGGCTGTATGCGACTCCCATTGAACGCAGCCGAGACCGAAGTGCCAGGTGAGTACAGCAGAATTCATCCATGCCTTTCCTTTTCATGCCCTTCCTATGTCTTTCCGCTACAAACTGCTTACTACGACTACTTCCACCACCACTGCTACTACTACCACTCCTGCTGAGTACTACTGGTACTACTAGTGCGAGTAGTAGTAGTAGCAGTGGTAGTAGTAGTCTCTATCTATACTCTTTATAAAGGGAACAGCGGGTTTCGCGTAACGCTGTCCCAAACCCAGCCTGCCTGTGTTGGGAAAGAGGCGGGGGACAAGGCGCCGGCCCAAGAGGAATTTCATGAAAGCGGAGGTTTTTTTTTTGGCCGGTGTGCGACAGCTCGAAGGGTGCCGCTGCGCGATAGAAGCGTTTCGGAGTCCGGCGGGCTTTTTTTTTTGTTGTCCGAACGTGTTTTTGCGTCGTTTTTTTTGTGTTCAGTCGGCCGTTGTGCGGGGGAAAAAGAAGGCGAACGGTCGAGAGGTGTGAACGTTGGGTGGCGGGCGGCTGTTGTGCCGGGGAAAGAGAGGGTGACTCTTCTGGCCAATTTTCTCCGGGTGCTCGCTATCTGCCCTGCTCCTTACCGAGATTCGGACTTCCTGCCACGTCATCTCCGCTGTCCCATCTCCGTTTCCTTCTCTTCGACTACCCCCGATCCCGACTTCCCCAACTCCGATCGATCCCGATCCTGCCTCCCCTCGCCCTGATCCGGATCCTCCCCTCCCTCCTCAACCGCATCTCGACTCCTCCTCTTTCTGATCACCTTCCCCCTTCCACCCGACTTTCTCCTGGTGCCCTTCCGCCCGATTTTCTCCGGGTGCCCGCTATCTGCCCCGCTCCTTACCCAGATCCCGACTTCTTGCCACGTCATCTCCGCTGTCCCATTTCCGTTCCCTTCCCTTCGACTACCCCCGATCCCGACTTCCCCAACCCCGATGGATGTCGATCCTGCCTCCCTTCGCCCCCATCCGGATCCTCCCTTCCCTCCCCAACTGCATCTCGACTTCCCTTCTTCCCTGCGCCTGACCCTACTTCCCTCCTGCGCTGTTACATCTTCGACTCACACGGGTCCTACCGGACCCGACTTAGGGCCGGAGGGACACACCAGGGCCTAAAGGCCCGACCTTTGGGGTTACAGGCCCTAAAGGCCTGATTTTGGACTAATCCCATCGGGTAGGCCCAAACGACACTTCGTTTTGGCCTGGCGGCGCTCTTGAAGCTGCCGCACGCCGATTGAGGCTAAACCGTCCATCTGGACGGTCCAGGGTCTGGCCTGGCCTCGCAGCATTGAGGCCAGACCATTGCCTACCGGTATAAGTACCGGTATCCGCCTCACCGGTATCCGCCTCAGTTGAAGGATCGGCCTACTGGAACTCTACCGGCACGGCATGGTCAGTGCTAGTGCACTGTTTTGATGCGCTAAACTTAGCGCAGGGGCTGAAGCAGGAGCGCAGCATAGCGCAGCAGCGAGCGGAGCAGCAGCAGGGCGACTGAGCCAGCACGGCGGCCATTGCCGCCTGAGGTACCGGGAGCTTGGAGGGTCTCTCCTCCTCTCCCTCGCCAGTCCTCTCTCTCTCTCTCCTCTTCCGCCTTCTTCTTCTTCTTCTTCTTCTTCTTCTTCTTCTTCTTCTTCTTCAGATTGGAGACTATCCAGTTGGACAGAGATCAGAGTTGAATTTCGGTGATACGAGACTGTGGTACTTACCTGATTGGAGACTTGGAGATTGTTGAGGTTGATACTCGGCTGCATCACAGTTGGATACCGGTTACATCTGGACTCTGTTATCTCCGACATTGGTGACCTTTGGTCCTCGACATTTTGATCTTGTTATATGACATTCTGGACTACCATTTCAGAGACCTACCAAACTCTATCTTGTGACCTATCGGTGTGATCTACCTCCTACCTCCTTCGTCTCTCCTCCCACCTTTCATCTGTGTATGTGTGTACGGGATCTGGGTATCGTCTATGAATGACCCAGACCCCACCATCTCATGATTGTATGTGTGTGGAGTGATGCCATGTAGGTCAGTCTATGTGAGTCAGTCTATGTGAGTCAGTTCGTTATCAGACTTCCGCTGCATAAATGCTCATCCTATATTGGTTGATCTTTGGTTCTGCCCATACTCATTGAAGTATGTAACANTGTGAGTCAGTTCGTTATCAGACTTCCGCTGCATAAATGCTCATCCTATATTGGTTGATCTTTGGTTCTGCCCATACTCATTGAAGTATGTAACAGTTTTGGTATCGGAGCAGACCAAAACGGATCTGCTCACCAGGTAAGTCCGTTCAGAATTAGGTTATCATGTTTGATCTTCTAAATCGGCGCTGTAGTATTATCAAGTTCAAAGTTGCAAATTTTCTTTCTTCCGGTATTCTGGCTATTTCAGCATTTCCGTTTCAATTCAGTATTCGGACCTTTTTTTTTCGGATTTCTGTTGTACACGGTATGCTGTTTAATTAGATCCGAGAGATTGATACTAATCCAACATTCTGTTTTGATTCGGATTTCTGATGAAGTAATTCGTAATTAGGGTTGAATCAGTATCATGTTAGAAATTCGGTTTTTCTGATTTTCATTCAGCATTCCGTTTTTCGGCATTCTGTTGTAAATCCTATATTTCGTTTTCTCTTGAGATCTCCGTTGTCTTTCAGTATGGGAATTAGGGTTATGAAAATCTTTTGGCTTTGGATCAACTTGGGGAAACTCTAACGTTTTGGGACCGTAAATCCGGAAATTTCGCCGAAACACGGAAATTAGGGTTGGGACCGGAATTTTTCGCGAATTTTTTTTTCGTTCTCCTTGTTTGAGAAACTCCGAAAATAGGTTTAGGCTCTTAAAAATCGGATTTTGACGGTGGGAATTCCCGAAAATTCGCATTTTTGAAAATTCGAGCGTTTTTTCTTCTGAAATTTCCGAATTTTTTTTTAGCACACTAAGCCGTATCTGACCTTAAATTGCAACTACTGGGCAGTTCACTTATTAAACGGAGAACTCCCGGTCTCATAGTGATCTCAAAGAGACCTAATCATAATACCTTTCAAATTCGTTTAGTAATTGGTTATCTTTATTTACAAACATTGTTTTACTGAKTATCATTAATTGGTTATCTTTATTACAAACATTGTTTACTGATTATCATTCGGATTTAGTTCGTTAATTATCATTAATTAATTAATTGATTAAATCGTTATGAATTCCTTATTACGAATTTTTCGAAGGGTTTACGGGAAAATTATTTTTTCCTGTTTGATTAGGTGTCTACAGTCCATCAGTGGGACAGGGGATTGTATGTATATTGCTTGATTGTTCTACCCCTGTTCCCACTCTCCCTACCCCCCGTGTTCTGTGATTACCAGGACTTCTCAAGTACCGCATSGGTTCGGACTGATGTYGACGGAACAGGACACCGGGGCACTGCCACGACGCAGTGCCAGAATCGCAGTTCGTGCCCGCCCTGCAGTACCTCCAAGACCGAAGAAACTCAGCAGACGGACGACTCCAGCAGCATCAAGTACGACATTGACGGTACAAGACGCCACCGGAGATCATCCCGCATACCCAGTCCGAGGAGCCAATGAGCCAGCGGCTGATTATCGTCGGCTGCTACTGGCATTTACGGAAGCCGTAGCTGCCGTCGAGGCCCGGAAGGAGACAGCAGAGGCAGAACGTCAGCGACTAGCCAATGAAGCGGCAGCCGAAGCTCAGCGAACGACTGAGACTGACGCAGCGACACTAGACAGACGGAATGCCAGCAGCACGGAGTCCTTGATTGCTTGTGAGCATCAGTGGACGACGATACTCCAAGACATGATCTTTGTGCCTACAAAAGCGCAGGCAGACCCGACACCGGCGGAGGCAGAGAGAAGTAACCTGGCTAACTTGCTGCTGGGCATGATGAGAGGTATTATGTGGAATAATGCACTGCTGCAGTCACATCTGCGCACGGACGCGACGCAGCGACAAACATACAAGAATGATATGACTACGTTAACAACTGCTATCCGCACAGAGGCAATGCAGCAGCAGCAACAGCATCAACTGTTGAATTCCACTATCACACGCGTCAACAGCATAGAGGCTAACGCCCCAGCAGCGCCAGGCTGCACGACAGACGTGACGAAGCAACTCAACGAGCGCATCGATCACGTCGTCACCATCATCGGCGACATAAG